TTCTACTTTGTAAAAACTTCTCATATGCTAACTTTTTCTCCCTTACTACTCTCTTTACATCATCATTCCACCAATCGCTCCTCTTCCCTCCTGCACCCACTTTCCTGTAACCACAAACTTCTGCTGAACACTCTAACACTACATTTTTAAACCTACCCCATACCTCTTCGACCCCATTGCCTATGCTCTCATTAGCCCATCTATTTATTTATTTATTTATTTATTAACAATTTGAGCATACATACAGAGGTACAAAAAAATACAGATAAGAGCAGCATGCCAAAGCCACTTATACTATGCATAGCATTTCGGGCTGGCTTAAAATTAACTAAGCAATGATGAAATCAGTGATAATACATTATTGTAAACAGATAACTATAAAGCACAAATGAGTATTACAAAGACAGGTCATATGGTTGCATGCATTGTTGTACATTCAGTCGTATGGAGTATTCTCTTAGGTAGTGTATTTAAAAAATAATAAAGTTAGATTGGGTTTTAGGTTTAACATTTATGTGATATAATTGTGAGAAACATTTAAGATATACAATTTATAAGGTTCAGTTATTCAGTATTTATTTGGTTTTGGGTGAGTAAGTGATCTTTGAGAAGAGACTTGAATTTATAAACAGGTAGTGTTTCTTTTATATTTACAGGTAATGAATTCCAGATTTTAGGGCCTTTTATGTGCTTTGAGTTTTTGCATAGTGTGAGATGGACACGAGGAACATCAAAAGAGTGATCTGTGCCTTGTGTTATGGTCATGTGTTCTGTTGAGGTTGGCAAGGAGATGTTTGAGGGGGGGGTTTTAATATCAGAGTTAAGTGTTCTATGTATGTAATAGGTGCAGTAATAAGTATGGATGTTTTGTATGGTGAGTAGGTTTAGTGAAATTGAATATTGGTGGAGTGTGCTGCCTGTAGTGAAAATTTTTGTTATCATTCTAACTGAAAGCCTTTTGTTGGGTAATTAGTGGTCTGAGATGGTTAATTGTTGTTGAGCCCCATGCACAAATTCCATAGGTGAGATAGGGGTAAATAAGAGAGTGATATAGGGCCAGGAGGGCTGACTGTGGAACATAGTACTGTATCTTCGATAGTATGCCTACAGTCTTGGAAATTTTCTTAGAAATTTGTTGTATATGTGTATGAAATTTGAGTCTATTATCAAGGTGGATTCCTAAGAATTTTCCCTCTGTTAGCTTTGTGATAGGTGATCCGTTTATCATTATGTTAAGAGGGACATCTGTAGCTCTGTTACCAAACTGAATGAAGTAGGTTTTGTCAATGTTTAGTGTAAGTTTGTTAGTCCTCATCCAGGTAGATATTTTCTGTAATTCGGTATTTACAGTATTGGCTAGCGTGACTGGGCTCGGGTGAGAGAAGACGTATGTAGTGTCATCTGCAAATAGTGTGGGTTTGAATAATTGCGAAGCATTTGGAAGGTCATTTATGTATAGGAGAAAGAGAAGAGGGCCAAGGACACTTCCCTGTGGGACACCAACTGTAATTGGTTGCGCAGAAGAGTTTGCCCCATTTGCGTACACATATTGGCTTCTGTTGCTGAGGTATGACTTGAGGTAGTTGAGGGAGTGCCTCTTATACCATAGTGTGACAATTTTACGTGGAGCAAGTCATGGTCAACTGTATCAAAGCTTACGTAAGTCAATGAAGATCCCCAGGGGACTTCTTTTTTCTCTATTGCAGTGTATATATGTTCTAGCATGTGTATAATAGCATCATTAGTATTTTTATTAGGCCTGAATCCAAATTGGCAGGGGTTGAGTATGTTTTGGGAGATAAGGTGGAGTAGATTCGTTTTATGAATTAATTTTTCGAAGATTTTTGAGAGAGGGTGTAAGTTGGATATTGGCCTATAGTTATTCAACTCTGTTTGGTCTCCTCCTTTGTGGATCGGGGTGACCCTTGCTATTTTGAGTACTGTAGGGAAGGTGGAGGATTCTATGGATTTGTTAAAGAGTGTTGCAATGATTGGTGATAGCACTTGTGACAGTTTTTTGTATATAAAGGGTGGTAAGGTATTTAAATCTCCTGCCTTGTTTTTTAGTGCGTTGATAATAAGGGAGACTTCGTATGGGTTAGTCGGAGCTAGGAACAGTGTGTTCGGGTAGTTGCCGGTGAGGTAGTCATTTGGTGGGGTATCTGAGCTTGGGATTTTATTGGCAAGGTTTTGTCCTATAGTGGAGAAGAAATCATTGAGTCTGTTTGCTGTTTCTGTTGGTGGGAGTTGGGGTTCATCTGATTTTGCTAATTTTATTTCGCTATTTCGTGATATCTTTTTTGTTCCCAGAATTTCTGATATCCTCCAATAGCTGTTTATATCTTACCCTAACTGCCTCCTCTTTTAGTTTATAAACCTTCACCTCTCTCTTCCCTGATGCTTCTATTCTAGTACAGTATACAGTATTCAAAAACATGGGCTACAACCATGTGGGTCACTCAACACTGGAGTATACTAACCTAAAATGATAATGTTCTCAAAGATATCAAATATGTCTCAACTCGGATAAGAATAATTCCTGCTTCATATTAAATACAAAATTTGCCATCACAAAATTCTTCTCACACACCCCTATAGATCAGTTCATGCATCTCGGGAGAGTGCCTGCACCACAGTTTAGGAGCTCTAAGTCTAAGAGAGTTAAACTATACTTATCTTGATACCAGAATGCAAGAATGTTATTGGAATAAACATCTGCATTTTATTTTTTCTTAAGTTACTTTTTGAATAATAAAATATGTTTCCTCTTAGTTTTGACTGTTACATATTTGCCTTGCTTGTATGATGAGAAGGTTCAAAGTAGGGGCTTGGTGCTCCATTTATCTCTTGAAGACACTATAACCCTTACATCTATATTTTCCCCAACATATTTTCTTATGACACTAGTTTTCTTTCATTCTTGAATAGATCGTCAGGTCTAATTCCTGACATGTTTCATAGTCACATAGCACAAACAACTTTATATTGTACCCAGATACTATCTCTTAAGAGGATCAGACACTTCCATAACCAAATTTTTGAAGGGGAAGATAAACAGTTTCTTATTGAAAAATGTAAATTTATCAGATAAAGGTGGTAAATATTCTAATATTTACCACCTTTACCTGATAAGTGTACAGTAAAACCTCATTGTATGCAACTCCTGCAAAGGAGAATTAAACAACACTTCATTAAAAAAGTGCAACTGTTACTTGATTTTCACTGAAAATGCCCCCAACATATGTACTATCAATTGGTATGGGATTGAGTAATGCATGAAACCCGTTTGCTGCCTGGTAGGTAATCTTCCCTCTGTGCTACCTTAGGCCTATGAGAAGAGACTACTATTTTTGAGGAAGATGTAACATCCCATCCCTTGTTATTCACCCACACCACCTACAATTGATTTCTGGATACATGATTTTTCCTAGTTTATCAAATGATTTTGGAAATCATTACCATCACCTCATCTTGTCTCCGGTACCCAAAAAGAAGTGATGATGCTAGAGGTGTAAGAAGAAAATTAAGCCTGAAACTTGAGTTTAAAAAAACTGAGGTACTATATGAGATATGCTTCGAGATGGCATGTGTGATGCAGACTGTTAGTGCCATTCGAGACAATGAGAAGAAAGTAAGAGACTGTGCAGAGTAATCCAGATTGGGACCTGCTGAAAAGAATGACAAAACAGTTAATGAATGTATGGATTGAGGGAAAAAAAAATTACCTTTTTAGCAGTCAGATAAGGCAGAAAGCCTCAAATTACTATAAAAGTGTGTGTCACATGGAAGGAAAACCTTCACAGGTGTGTGTGTATATTGTGCTGGGTGGTTTGATCAATTTAAACACTGCAGTGGGCTGTATAACAAAGTTCACTGGTATGAGTGCATCAGCTGATTACATTGCACATTGCCACGAAAAATTTCCATCTACAGTGTTTCCTGAGTTTTTCTGAGAAAGACTACACTGCCAACCAAGGTCTTAATGCTGAAAACGAGATAGTTTGGATTAAAATGCCATCAAAAAAAATTTGCACCTAGGTTTAAGGCAGTGAAGGATCACTTCAACTTTGGTGCACTAATGCATCAGGTGATTTCAAGTGCAAAGCTATAGTAATTTATCATTCACAGACTTCCTGTGGTCTAAAAGGACAAGACAAAACCACTTTGCCTCTTATTTGGCAGTCTAACAAGAAAGCATGGATGTCTGATGGGCTGTTTGTCGACTCGTGCAAGCATTATTTTATTCCTCTAGTGAAGCTATAGCTGGCCCAAAAAGAACTTTTCATTCAAAGTTCTCACTCTTGGTAACTCCGAAGTCAACCTGAAATATTGCACTCTCTGCATCGAAATGTGCAGGCCGTTTCTTTACCAACATATACATCACTGATACAGCCATTGGATCAAGGTTATTATTATAATCGAAGAAAGTGCTAAACCGACAAGGGTCATATTGGATCAAGGTGTCAAAGACATTTTAGCGATACTATACACACAGGGTCATGCAAAACCTTCTCGCAGCAATGGATGACAGCTCAGACACTGGAGTGCCAGAGATCTGGCATACGTTTAACAATACAGATGCACTAACACACATAAAAGTGTCGTGGAATGAAGTGCTCCAATCAACAATGTATGTATATTCAGGTTGGAAACTATTAACTTCGATAAGGGAGACGTGAGTGTGTATGTGTACCCGGCAATATGCTGGACCAATATATGTAGGCTATGGAGAATTGCACATGACCAAGTATGTTGAAAATTTCTAAGGTTTTCTCCTCAGTACAGAGTCAGATTCAGGAAACAGAGTCTGGCAAGAAGTGGGAGATGAAAGCTTTGAAATTATTAAGAATAATGATGTAAATAAACTGTCAGAAAGATTATGGAGAAGAACCAACTGCAGAAAAATTACTAGAAGAGCTAAATACCCAGGTTAGAGATGCAGAAAACAGAGGATGAGATAGAAGAATCTGTACAGAAACAGTTAACACTGGAAAAGTTACGTAAGTAATTCCATGTTGCTGGTTAACTTGCAGCCTCTTTTTCAGTGAAGAAGACTGACATGTCTAGATGCCGTGTTCTGAAGCCAGGTCTAGAGCAGCTGAGGAAGCCTTATCGTCAACTGCATAAAGAACTGCTGGGTAAAACAGAGCAGAGATGCATTACAGAACTCTACAGCACTTCAGTACAACCATCAACTTCTGAAAACTCTTCACTGACATCAGTATAAGAAGCACAGTCATCCACATCAACACACTAACCACAGCCATCCACTTCATCCCAGTAGGGCCATATTAACCATCTCAACATACTTTCATATCAACAGGCAAGAGGAATCAGAAATGAAGGCAAGATAAAATTCTATCTTGTTACCTTTTGAGCCTATTTGAAAAGAAACTTTGTTTGCAACTCCAAGGAATATACATGTAACCCTATTCTTCCCCTGTTCTTCATTTTGGTTAACACTAATATGAATAAAACAATGATTATCAAGAACATTACCCACACATTACTAGAGGGTCTACTGTACCACAGGAACTTTACAAAACAAAAAGAATAAATCTGAAATAGGATTTTTCCCAACTACTGGAATAAAACACAGCCTATTCATAGACCAATAGCTAGCCCTCAAATTTTGTAATACAATTTAACCCTGAAATTTGCCTGGGTTAAGTTCCTTGATGGCTCACAAGTCTTTAAAAATGCAGATAAGAAATTTCAAATGTCTGAATCATTAAAAAAAAAAAAATCCTACTTTACATACTACATATACATGTATAACAATTTCAGAAAAATTCAATTTTTTAGCCAATGCTTTTAAAAATGACATTATTTAAAAAGAATGATTACAAGTCAACAAATTTTAATGTGGAGAAATCCAATGAGCACTATTGGAATGAAATCTAATGGTTAGTTTTCAATTTAAAGGTCAAGCACCACATAAAAAGGAACAGAACATTATGAAAAAACTCATGAATAATCAAAACGCTCTATGAAATACCCTTCGGTAAAAACATTTTACAAATGAATCTCGATAATTATGATGCAAATTTCAAGGTTTTCTGTACTCTTAAATTCACAGATTTTTTATTATTCAAAGTTTTCCCTGAAGCATGGTGTCTAACAAATAAGTTTGATTTTCATAGATTTTCTTGCTGTGCCTGTTTAGTTTCAGCTTAATGTACAACTCATAAAATGAAAAATAACTACTGTATAGTAATGGAAAAATCTGACATGTAAATGAATTTAACAATGTAAAAATTATACAATTATGGTGGACTAGACTGCATATGGAAAAGCAGTGTTCTAAAAGATCTGATGATAACATGTAAAACAAGAGCAAATAAAAGGAGGGAATAAGGAACTGTCAATAAATGTTGAGAATGAAAAACAGTTTTGAAGGCATCAGTACTGGTAAAGTAAGGAAATCAAGAAGAAAGTAGATTTGTCAGCTAAGAAAGTAAAAAGAAGTTGAGTAAGGGAATAATAAAAAAATAATTAATAATAATAATAAATTATAATGTGCAGCATAGAGGGTTGAAATAACTTATGATGAAAATGAAGACAAGGTTTTTTTCAATAATTACTGCCATTCACATACAAAAATGGCATGGTATGGAAATGTATGTTGTGGAATTGTGCTCAGAATATAATGACATTTCTTCAGAACTTTTCACAGAGGACTGGCATATATTTATTGCTTGTATGATGCCAGGACACCATCAGTTCATTATTATTACCTGGAGGATACCAATAATCTACTATTATCACCTGGAGAACGCCATAAATCAACTACCACTTCTACCTGGAGAACACCATCAGTCAACTACCACTACTACCTGACGAACACCATCAGTCAACTACCATTACTACCTGGAGAACAACATCAGTCACCTACCACTATTACCTGGAGATCATCATCAGTCAACTACCATTACTACCTGGAGAACACCATCAGTCAATTACCATTACTACCTGGAGAACAACATCAGTCACCTACCACTACTACCTGAAGATCATCAGTCAATTACCATTACTACCAGGAGAACACCCTCAGTCAACTACCATTACTACCTGGAGAACGTCATTAATCTACTACTACTACCTGAAGGATACCATTGGCCAACTACCATTAGTTCTACTACTACTACTACTACCACCACCGGGAGGACACCACCAGTCCACTACCACCGTCAGGAGAACAACTACTACTAATGCCACCTGGACACCATCACCTACTGCTATACACTACCTGGAGGACACCATCAACCACCATACACTACCAGGACACCATCAACCACCATACACTACCTGGAGGACACCATCAACCATACACTACCTGGAGGACACCATCAACCATTTTACACTACCTGGAGGACAGCATCAACCACTATACACTACCTGGAGGACACCAACCACTATACACTACCTGAAGGACACCATCACCCACTACTACCTGGAGGACACCATCAAATACCTGGAGGACACCAACCACCACTACCTGGAGGACACCATCAACCACCAATGCCTGGAGGACACCAACCACCATTACCCGGAGGACACCAACCATCAATGCCTGGAGGACACCATCAACCACCACTACCTGGAGGACACCATCAACCACTACTATACAGAGGACACCATCAACCACTACTATACGGAGGACACCAACCACCACTACCTGGAGGACACCATCAACCACCAATGCCTGGAGGACACCATCAACCACCACTACCTGGAGGACACCAACCACTACTACCTGGAGGACACCAACCACCACTACCTGGAGGACACCATCAACCAATTACCAATAGACCCCTGGCAGTCTTCAAGCAGGCACTGGACAAGCACCTAAAGTTGTTACCTGACCAGCCAGGCTGTGGCTCGTGCGTTGGATTCTATGCAGCCAGAAGTAACAGCCTGGTTGATCAGGCTCTGATCCACCATGAGGCCTGGTCACAGACTGGGCCGTGGGGGCATTGACCACTGGAACTCTCTCCAGGTAAACTCCAGGTAATGCCTGAAGGACACCATCAAACACCAATGCCTGGAGGACACCCTCAACCACCATACACTACCTGGAGGACACCATCAACCATCAGTACCTGGAGGACACCCTCAACCACCATACACTACCTGGAGGACACCATCAACCACCAATGCCTGGAGGACACCATCAACCACAAATGCCTGGAGGACACCATCATCCACCACTACTTGGAGGACACCCTCAACCACCACTACATGGAGGACACCATCAACCACCACTACCTGGAGGACACCATCAACCACCACTATCTGGAGGACACCAATTACCACTACTTGGAGGGAACCATCAATGCCTGGAGAACACTATCAACCACCACTACCTGGAGGACACCATCAACCACCACTACCTGGAGGACACCATCAACCACCACTACCTGGAGGACACCATCAACCACCACTACCTGGAGGACACCATCATTCACCACTACCTGGAGGACACCATCAACCACCACTACCTGGAGGACACCATCAACCACCACTACCTGGAGGACACCATCAACCACCAATGCCAAGAGGACACCATCATCCACCACTACCTGGAGGACACCATCAACCACCACTACCTGGAGGGCACCATCAGCCATCAATGCCTGGAGGACACCATCAACCACCAATGCCTGGAGGACACCATCAACCACCACTACCTGGAGGACACCATCAACCACCACTACCTGGAGGACACCATCAACCACCACTACCTGGAGGACACCATCAACCACCAATGCCTAGAGGACACCATCATCCACCACTACCTGGAGGGCACCATCAACCACCACTACCTGGAGGACACCATCAACCACCAATGCCTAGAGGACACCATCAACCACCAATGCCTGGAGGACACCATCAACCACCATCTGGAGGACACCATCAACCACCACTACCTGGAGGGCACCATCAACCACCAATGCCTAGAGGACACCATCAACCACCAATGCCTGGAGGACACCATCAACCACCACTACCTGGAGGACACCATCAACCACCACTACCTGGAGGACACCATCATCCACCTCTACCTGGAGGACACCATCAACCACCAATGCCTGGAGGACACCGTCATCCACCACTACCTGGAGGGCACCGTCAACCACCACTACCTGGAGGGCACCATCAACCACCACTACCTGGAGGACACCATCAACCACCACTACCTGGAGGACACCATCAACCACCACTACCTGGAGGGCACCATCAACCACCACTACCTGGAGGACACCATCATCCACCACTACATGGAGGACACCATCAACCACCACTACCTGGAGGACACCATCAACCACCACTACCTGGAGGACACCATCAACCACCACTACCTGGAGGACACCATCAACCACCACTACCTGGAGGACACCATCATCCACCACTACCTGGAGGACACCATCATCCACCACTACCTGGAGGACACCATCAACCACCACTACCTGGAGGACACCATCAACCACCACTACCTGGAGGACACATCAACCACCACTACCTGGAGGACACCATCCACCACTACCTGGAGGACACCATCAACCACCACTACCTGGAGGACACCATCAACCACCACTACCTGGAGGACACCATCAACCACCACTACCTGGAGGACACCATCAACCACCACTACCTGGAGGACACCATCAACCACCACTACCTGGAGGACACCAATCCACCACTACCTGGAGGACACCATCAACCACCACTACCTGGAGGACACCATCAACCACCACTACCTGGAGGACACCATCAACCACCACTACCTGGAGGACACCATCCACCACTACCTGGAGGACACCATCAACCACCACTACCTGGAGGACACCATCAACCACCACTACCTGGAGGACACCATCAACCACCACTACCTGGAGGACCCCATCATCCACCACTACCTGGAGGACACCATCAACCACCAATGCCTGGAGGACACCATCAACCACCAATGCCTGGAGGACACCATCAACCACCAATGCCTGGAGGACACCATCATCCACCACTACCTGGAGGACACCATCAACCACCAATGCCTGGAGGACACCATCAACCACCAATGCCTGGAGGACACCATCATCCACCACTACCTGGAGGACACCATCATCCACCACTACCTGGAGGACACCATCATCCACCACTACCTGGAGGACACCATCATCCACCACTACCTGGAGGACACCATCATCCACCACTACCTGGAGGACACCATCAACCACCAATGCCTGGAGGACACCATCAACCACCAATGCCTGGAGGACACAGATGTGCTGGGAAGGATACAGATACAACAAACATCAATAATGCAGATACACAATTCAAGCTTTGCACTTACAAGGAACCGGTTACCTGGCCGGCCATGGAACTCTGAACGGCAACCGGTTCCTGCCATGTTCACGAAGGATAAATTTATTTATATTATAATTTAGCATATGGTGGGAACAATAGTGGCACTGTTTGGCACTGCCAATACTCCACGATTAAATCACTCCATTTGAAGTGGAATAATTAAGAGCGCCTCTCTGATGACTAACCTGGCGAGTTTACAGAAGCGAGAATCGCAGGATATAACAGCTAGGAGAGGAGATAATTGAAGATGGATGAGGAGGATAATGCAACGTACTACTCCTCTCAGATGCTGACTGATGACTGACTGATTCTGTAAGACCTGCCAGCTGCATCAGTGCAACCTTGCCACATAGTTCTTTGTTATTTATTATTTCACACATTTTATCTTTCCCCTATGAGTTATCTACATGCTACAATGACATACTTGTAATCCTTGTCTGGAATAACGTTGGTGATTTAGAGAGAATTTGCATCATAAAGGCTGAATACGCCTGGTAATGAGAATGTAATTTTTCACTTTAACGATGAATGGCAACTTTCAACAGCTGTTTGGTGAAGTTCATTTGTTTGTTGATGTTGCTGGGTCTTGTTGCACTGAGTTGATGTTGCTGGGCCTTTTTTGTTGCACTATGTTGATGTTGCTGGGTCTTTGTTGCACTGTTGGTGATGTTGCTGGGTGTTTTTGTTGCACTATGTTGGTGATGTTGCTGGGTGTTTTTGTTAGTAAGTTTATTCAGGTATACACAAATACAGTTACATAGAATTATCATACATAGCAGCATGTGTGTAGAGAACCTAGGATAACCCAAAAAAGTCAGACAGAGTGACTTATGTTGGTGATGTTGTTGCACTATGTTGGTAATGTTGCTGGGTATTTTTGTTGCACTATGTTGGTAATGTTGCTGGGTGTTTTTGTTGCACTATGTTGGTAATGTTGCTGGTGTTTTGCACTATGTTGGTAATGTCGCTGGGTGTTTTTGTTGCACTACGTTGGTAATGTTGCTGGTGTTTTTGTTGCACTATGTTGGTAATGTTGCTGGGTGTTTTTGTTGCACTATGTTGGTAATGTTGCTGGGTGTTTTGCACTATGTTGGTAATGTCGCTGGGTGTTTTTGTTGCACTACGTTGGTAATGTTGCTGGGTGTTTTTGTTGCACTATGTTGGTAATGTTGCTGGGTGTTTTTGTTGCACTATGTTGGTAATGTTGCTGGGTGTTTTTGTTGCACTATGTTAGTGATATTGCTGGTGTTTTGTTCCACTATGTTGGTAATGTTGCTGGGTGTTTTTGTTGCACTATGTTGGTAATGTTGCTGGGTGTTTTTGTTGCACTATGTTGGTGATGTTGCTGGGTGTTTTTGTTAGTAAGTTTATTCAGGTATACACAAATACAGTTACATAGAATTATCATACATAGCAGCATGTGTGTAGAGAACCTAGGATAACCCAAAAAAGTCAGAGTGACTTATGTTGGTGATGTTGTTGCACTATGTTGGTAATGTTGCTGGGTGTTTTTGTTGCACTATGTTGGTAATGTTGCTGGGTGTTTTGCACTATGTTGGTAATGTCGCTGGGTGTTTTTGTTGCACTACGTTGGTAATGTTGCTGGGTGTTTTTGTTGCACTATGTTGGTAATGTTGCTGGGTGTTTTTGTTGCACTATGTTGGTAATGTTGCTGGGTGTTTTTGTTGCACTATGTTGGTAATGTTGCTGGGTGTTTTTGTTGCACTGTGTTGGTAATGTTGCTGGGTTTTTGTTTGCACTATGTTGGTGATGTTGCTGGGTGTTTTTGTTGCACTATGTTGGTGATATTGCTGGGTGTTTTGTTGCACTATGTTGGTAATGTTGCTGGGTGTTTTTGTTGCACTATGTTGGTGATGTTGCTGGGTGTTTTTGTTGCACTATGTTGGTAATGTTGCTGGGTGTTTTTGTTGCACTATGTTGATAATGTTGCTGTTTTTGTTGCACTATGTTGGTGATGTTGCTGGGTGTTTTTGTTGCACTATGTTGGTGATATTGCTGGGTGTTTTTGTTGCACTATGTTGGTAATGTTGCTGGGTGTTTTTGTTGCACTATGTTGGTGATGTTGCTGGGTGTTTTTGTTGCACTATGTTGATAATGTTGCTGGGTGTTTTTGTTGCACTATGTTGGTGATGTTGCTGGGTGTTTTTGTTGCACTATGTTGGTGATATTGCTGGGTGTTTTGTTGCACTATGTTGGTAATGTTGCTGGGTGTTTTTGTTGCACTATGTTGGTAATGTTGCTGGGTATTTTTGTTGCACTATGTTGGTGATGTTGCTGGGTGTTTTTGTTGCACTATGTTGGTGATATTGCTGTGTGTTTTGTTGCACTATGTTGATAATGTTGCTGGGTGTTTTTGTTGCACTATGTTGGTAATGTTGCTGGGTGTTTTTGTTGCACTATGTTGGTAATGTTGCTGAGTGTTTTTGTTGCACTATGTTGGTGATATTGCTGGGTGTTTTGTTGCACTATGTTGGTAATGTTGCTGGGTGTTTTTGTTGCACTATGTTGGTAATGTTGCTGGGTGTTTTTGTTGCACTATGTTGTAATGTTGCTGGGTGTTTTGTTGCACTATGTTGGTAATGTTGCTGGGTGTGTTTGTTGCACTATGTTGATAATGTTGCTGGGTGTTTTGTTGCACTATGTTGGTAATGTTGCTGGGTGTTTTGTTGCACTATGTTGGTAATGTTGCTGGGTGTTTTGTTGCACTATGTTGGTAATGTTGCTGGGTGTTTTGTTGCACTATGTTGGTAATGTTGCTGGGTGTTTTTGTTGCACTATGTTGATAATGTTGCTGGGTGTTTTTGTTGCACTATGTTGGTAATGTTGCTGGGTGTTTTTGTTGCACTATGTTGGTAATGTTGCTGAGTGTTTTGTTGCACTATGTTGGTAATGTTGCTGGGTGTTTTGTTGCACTATGTTGATAAGTTGCTGGGTGTTTTGTTGCACTATGTTGGTAATGTTGCTGGGTGTTTTGTTGCACTATGTTGGTAATGTTGCTGGGTGTTTTGTTGCACTATGTTGGTAATGTTGCTGGGTGTTTTGTTGCACTATGTTGGTATGTTGCTGGGTGTTTTGTTGCACTATGTTGGTGATGTTGCTGGGTCTTTGTCGCACTATGTTGATATCTCTGGTGGTCTTTTTGTTGCACAATGTTGATAGGTCTTCTTGTGGCACTATTTTGGTGTCGCTGGGTGTTCTTGTTGCAATATGTTGGTGATGGTGCTGGGTCTTTTCGTTGCACTATGTTGATGTTGTTGGGTCTTGTTGCACTATGCTGTTGATGCTGGGTCTTGTTGTTGCACTATGACGGTGATGTTGCTGGGCCTTGTTGCACTAAGTTGATGTTGCAGGGTCTTTTTGTTTCACTAGTTGGTATGTTGTTGGGTCTTGTACTATGTTAATGTTGCTAGGTGTTGCTTCACTACGTTGATGTTGCTGGATCTTGTTGCACTATGTTGATGTTTCTTGATCTTGTTGCACTATGTTGATGTTGCTGGATCTTGTTGCACTATGTTGATGTTGCTGGATCTTGTTGCACTATGTTGATGTTGCTGGAACTTGTTGCACTATGTTTATGAGTTGCTGGGTCTAGTTACACTATGTTGGTGATGTTGAGTCTTGATGCTTCACTATGATGATGTTGCTGGGTGTAGTTGCTTCACTATATTAGTGATGTTGCTGAGTTTTGTCATGCTATGTTGTTGCTGGATCCTATTACACCATGCTGGTTATGTTGGGTCATGCTGCTTCACTATGTTGGTAATGCTGCTGCTGAGTCTCGTTGCTTCAGTACCTATGTTGGTGACGTTACTGCTGCTTGTTGAGGAGGTTCCAGAGTCTCCTGCTTCTTCAGAATTACCACCATTGCTATTGTTATACTTACATTCCAACACTTGACAAAGACTACTCTCCTCTCTACTCTGATCTTAACATACACTGGATGCTCAGCCCCTGACACTCATTACCTCCTTCACATCCACCTTCCAACCATTCCACGGACTTCCATCAGTCCCAGAGTCATAGTCTTTTTTTTTTCAGTACTTAACAGTTTACTTGGGGGTTTCTCCTCGCCTGGTTAAGAAATTTTGGTATCGACTCACAGTTGAAAAATCTGGGCTCGACCCTAGGCTGGGTGGAAGTGTTGGGAAATTTCTTTATACGTAGTAGTATAGTACCTATTTAGTGTTAGCCCACTGTTGTGGACTGCATCCTGAGGAAGAGGACGAAAGGCTATCAAAGGAAATAAGACACTGACTCGGCAGGCGATGCAACATTCCTCCAATGAAAAGATAAGATTTCGTTCGGATTTTTAACCCCGGAGGGTTAGCCACCCAGGATAACCCAAGAAAGTCAGTGCGTCATCGAGGACTGTCTAACTTATTTCCATTGGGGTCCTTAATCTTGTCCCCCAGGATGCGACCCACACCAGTCGACTAACACCCAGGTACCTATTTGCTGCTAGGTGAACAGGACAATAGGTGTAAGGAAACGTGTCGAAATGTTTCCACCCGCCGGGAATCGAACCCGGGCCCTCCGTGTGTGAAGCGGGAGCTTTAGCCACCAGACCACCGGGCCACACCCAGACCACCGGGCCACACAAAAGCAAGGATGTCATGAGTACACAGATAACACAATAAGTGCCAGGGACCCAGGACTGTTCAACTGCCTCCTAGCATACATAAGGTGGGTTACCCATAGATCCCCAGCTGTCTTGAAGGAGCTGGACAGGCACCTAAAGTCAGTAACTGATCAGCCGAGCTGTGGTTCGTACGCTGGTTTGCATGCTGCTAGCAGTAACAATCTGGTTGATCAAACGCTGATCCACCACGAGGCCTGGTCATGGACCAGGCCGGGGGGCGTTGACCCCCGAACAACCCACAGGTATACTCCACGTATCCGGGGTTACTAACCCCCCCCCCATCCCCGGGCTAATAATCTGAATAAAATATATTTCTTCTAAATAGTCCAACTTGCGTACACAGATTTCTCGACATTTTCAATTTCCGTGTCTCATCTATTATGCGACTCGTATATAATTTGTCAAGGACCCATTTGTTAATACAGCCTCTGCCATGAGTGTACTGAGGGTGCTGCTGAGGCTACAAGTTACCCACTCCCACCTCAACCCTAGACTAGTACGTCTTCTCACCAGCGTGCTGTAATTGCTCTTATCTCCACTTGTAACTTCCTGTTAACTCGTCTCCGTCACCTGTATTATTTTTTTTATGTCACTTTCATTATCTTTAAGAGGCACATAAGTTCCCTCGTCTTCTAATAACATGTTC